AAATAATACAGCACTATACACGTACTTTGGAAATTGTCATTAATGATCATTAGTTGTGATTTTTTTGAAGTACAAACAAAGTTATCCGAAGCTTATTCAAAGGAATATAAATGGTTTACCTGCTGAAGTATTATACCTGTTCTGTAAATCTCTCCACATGTAACAACTTTGGGTTAAGATGTGTTCTCGGGTCACCACCTTTAAATTGCTTTGTTTTCTTTAGGGTCTTCACTAATATGTTTGTTTTAATACACACAATGTAAATACAATGGTAAAGAAAGGAATAAAATCTTTGAAACTACCAAGAAATGACAAGAAAAACACCAAACATCTCCATAAAACAATTACTGAAATATGTCTCATCAAGCACAGCACATTAGATGTTTTTCTCAATTCACTGAAGGTGTATTGTACAGTCACAATCCAAAGTTTCGACACACCACCCCTGGCTGGGTGTTCGTCGAGGCCAGGGCTGAGGTAAGGCTGGGTGATCGGACGCAGACTAGTTCAGCAATGTGGTAACGATGCCCTACGATGGTGAGGTTCACATTCCACCGCCACAACACTCCGAGACTCATAGCACACGAGCACAGGAAGGAACTTATTACAAACTTTGACACGACATGAACTTGCATATCAAATGCATTTATAACATTGTTGCCACACATAACAATAACATGTTAAGATTGGAGCATGAAAAACTTTGCCCGGTCCCAAAACACTGGCTTGGAACCACTAGATGAGTCCTCGTATTACACATGAATCATCAGGGCAGCATATATACAGTAAAGGGTGGCTGGGGCCGAATTTCGTCGAGGGAGTGAGCGGTGAGTCGACAAGGTGAGGCCTATACTGTACATGTATTACCATAACCCTGGGAATATTATGGTTTCACATATACTAGGAATTCATATACTGTAGTCATGTTTACTATATTTAATGGTGTATCAGTAACTACAGGGGAGTATTTTGACTTGGGATGTTGCAGTTCACATTAATCATGGTATCACCCAAACAATTTTTGTCTGGTCCAGAGCGGCGACTCTGCCGAAGACCTGGACCCTCAGCCTGGGTGTGTGTCGTCATTAGTGACTACTTCTTGGTCACTTGCCTTGTTTCCTGTCTACTGTTTCTTTTAGTTTTTAAATTTCACTTCATAATGTCTCAGATTATGAGAGTTATGGCACAGAGGTCACCAATATTACAACTAGTGACACATATGATTAAACCTTTAGTCCATCAACAAGTGATGTTTAACAATATTCATAACTGGGTCAAGAACAGCCCAGGTTTCTCATGCCTCACTCCTAACTTGCTATTGTTATGTGCCAACAATGTTATGAATTAAATTTTGTTATGCAGGTTCATGTCATGCCAAAATTCGTAACAATTTCCTTCCATGCTCGTGTGCTGTGAGTCTCGGAGTGTTGTGGTGATCGAATGTCTGCGTCCGATCACCCAGCCTTACCTCAAACCTGGCCTCGGTGAACACCCAGCCAGGGGGTGTAGAAACTTTGGATTGTGACTGTACCTGCCACTGTGTACAAAATTCAGAAGATGTCTTTTCCTGACTCCTCACCAGATTTGAATTTCATGCATTAAAATAAACCTTTTAATGAAAACTCTTCAGAAATAAACCATCAATCACCAATTATATACCAAATTACCGACAATTAAAGGATCCATTACCAGTAGACTGGGTTTCAGTGGTTGGTTCACGTGATGGTTTTTATCCCAGAGTCTCCCCAGGAAATAACACCACAGTTAAGTGCCTTTTGAGTGAAGCAGCAAGAGACTGCTGCCTGGTGAGCTGCCATTAGGTAATCATGACTAACCCAACACTGGAAAATGGCCTTAAAAACGATCATGAAAGTTTATACGACTCTCGGTAATATTTAAGGATAATCGCCAGGGTTTATCCAGCCACCCGAGTAAAAATTTCTATATTAGAAAACTTATTTCTTACAACAAGACGAAAGGAAATCAGGTGGAGGACCAACTCTTCCCATTCAGGTTTTTGTCCCCAATTTTCCCGGAACAATACAGTACTTCGCTGTAATGAAGTCATCTTGCATGTGACAAATGACAAACACAATGCACACCAATGACCTATTGATGAACTTCCCCCAATATGAAGTTTTGTCTCAATTGCCCACACGAACCCAATAGTAACCAACGTTCATAATAACACAATAATCAAACTTCCACCCCAGGTAAGTTAAGTACAATGTGCATGATGAAACTATACTGTACCGTACCGTTATACGTGTACTTAGTATTATTACAGGTGGTCAGAAAATTGCATATCCAACCTACCAACTAAGTACAGTACTGTATTATTAATAGTAAGTTGTATCAGTCCTATTTGGGATACTGCATTATTGTATCATCATTAGCTAACCATTATTACTACAGTATTATCATCAGTATTATAATTATTAACGTAGGAAAAGAAATTTTATTATCATTGTCTCAAAATATTGGCAACTATTCCACAAACACTGACTTACTATTTAGATACGAAAAAAATAAATTAGATTCAGTTTTTCATCCTGAGATAATTAAAGTTTGAGGAAATGCATAATTATTGAGTTAAGACCCTTCCTGCCCTGTCAAACTTGACCCCACCAAAGGTGACCAGGGCTTTGAAGCAGAGGGAAAATGTGGGGTTAAAAACATAATACAAGAACCTAACCTATTCTGGTATTTCACTGACCGACTGGGTGTATAATTATTACACAAACATTTGCACAAAATGTTGATAATTTTTTACTTTTGGACAACACGAGAATCTTAGGAATTATATCTTTGTCCTGAACAGTTTAGACAATTCTAAGCGAGAGAAACATCATAGAAGAAGAGCATCTTAACTGACAAACCTACAGATAGTAAAGATAAAATACACAAGAGTCCCGTGTTGTCCAAAAGTAAAATAACACCGGTGTAGCCGACCAGAAGTTACCCAGACCAGAAGTGTACGAAACGATAACTCTCGCCATTGCTGATGTACAGTATATCAACCTCAATATTAAGCTAAATTGTTTAACACATAAATTAAGACGTCACATCATGGAAATTAATAGAACCTGACCTTACAAACCCAACCTATTGAGGGGGGGCTGACAGTGTTGGACCACAATAAACATCTGTTAATTCATAATGTTGAGACTAAGGTACTGTTATAATCACATTCCTTCACCTGGTCACAAGGTTCACCGTTTACAAATAAAATAATAATATTTATAAAACGCTCAGACAATGACCTCAACAACACACCTTGATGCCCAGGTAAACAGTCTTACTCCTTAACAACCAGAGGCCCAACCACCTGACCTGAAGACTTGTTCCTCCACACCTCTGTCTGGCTTTAGTCTCAAAATAAAACCATATCCCTTCTATAGATTTTTCCTTAAATGGCTTTTGTAACCCGGGCCACTGTTTTTAAATAACACCCAAAACATTTATAAGGCTACAAAATAACTTTATTCATTTTTTTTCCCTCCATATAATATCAAAATCACAGAAAAGAATAAAACCCAAAAACTAAATTAACCCAAAACATCAAAATTTATTAACCTGTATCCAATAATAACATTAATTTTAATATAATCAAAATATCTTCAATTTATATTTGTTGAAACTTACCAAGACATAACACTTAAGAACTATATCATACAGTACATTATTCATATCACTATACTTTCAATAAATACCAAATATTATTATAAAAAACAATAAAAAAACCACATCACTACAAGAATACTGAATAACCATAAAACATAAAACAGGAACCACAAATAAAACCCAAAAACAGCTCATTATATAGACCTTAAAACACCATAAAAGTGAGATAATAATAAAACAATAAAAAAACATAGAAAACATCTCCCCAATAGGCTTCTCTTACCTTTTATTCTCTGAGGTTTCTTTATTCTCCACACTCATCTTGTCCTTCTCCTTCCGTTACACACAATCCTCAGTAAAACAAATCACCTACCACGACCCCATTTAAAAAGCACAGTGGTGGGTTAAGCCTTATCATAACATCATTTGGTGACACTAACACTGGAGGAGTTACTGTAGTGAGTTACTGTAGTGAGTTACCCATAATACTCGTCTCTATATCGACAAGTGACCGCCGGTAAGCGTCTATCCCTCTTGAGGTAAGGTACTTTATGTTGAGTGTAATTACCACGAACACTTCTTATTTATACCTTCTATTCTTCTTAATGTAATAAAATAATTTAGTTTATCTGATTTATTATTAATATATGATGATTTTCTTAATATTTGTTATATTATTTTAAGTTTATCTATTTTAGGAATGTATTTTAGTTTTGGTATTATTTGTTCGTGTTAGATATATAACATAACTTTCTTTATTTTGTATACACACAGTAACTACAGAACAAGCTTGTTACTCTATGTTTTATAGGGATTTGTATTTATTTCTACTTCAAACAGCAGTTACATACTACTTCCATTATAAAATCATCGCTGTATATGCATTGTATATGTACATCAATTTGTCACTACAGTATTTATATTTGTAAATAAAATATAGAGTCTGAATCTCCAGTTTTATTAAACAACCAATCACCAAAATTATGCTAAAGAATTTATTATTACGACATATTAATAAAATTACTCTACACAATCAGAGGTCATTGAGGGTTACACATCTTATACCACATTGGGTCTGACTCGAAAATATTTTCTTTATAAGTACTTGAGGAACATCCACAGTGCCTCTACCTCCCTCCTCTGCTTCTTCCTTTACGTCTAATTAATTTGTAAATATCCTACAGACATACATAAAAAGTATGTCAAAGCTTGAATAAAGTTACGAGAGAAATATTTTTCATGAGTAAAATAACCTGGTCAAATAATTAATAATGCGGGGATATGTTTAGAAGATATTAATGAAGAAAATTGAGGGTGAGACTTGAGAGGATCAGGGAAGGAATAGATTTGGGTGAATGAACAGAACTATTACTTACCTCTATCCTCTTCACCACTCATCAGCTCTCTAGCCGCTTGGGAGATCGGCCACATCTCTGTTGCGCACTGTTACTTTTAATTTTACTTTAGGGCCATGGACACATAAGGGCCATGGACACATAAGGGCCATGGACACACAAGGGCCATGGACACACAAGGGCCATGGACACACAAGGGCCATGGACACACAAGGGCCATGGACACATAAGGGCCATGGGCACATAAGGGCCATGACTTAACCTGGCGGATTTTTAACGTATTGATGCTTACCGTGAACAAGGAAGTTTTTAAAAGTGCAAAAACATACAACTGATCCTGACCGATTGTGGCAGACAAGTATAGTTGGTCCCTCACCTAATGTAGCAGACGAGTATAGTTGGTCCCTCACCTAATGTGGCAGACAAGTATAGTTGATCCCTCACCTATTGTGGCAGACGAGTATAGTTGATCCCTCACCTAATGTGGCAGACGAGTATAGTTGGTCCCTCACCTAATGTGGCAGACAAGTATAGTTGATCCCTCACCTAATGTGGGAGACAAGTATAGTTGATCCCTCACCTAATGTGGCAGACAAGTATAGTTGATCCCTCACCTAATGTGGCAGACGAGTATAGTTGATCCCTCACCTATTGTGGCAGACAAGTATAGTTGATCCCTCACCTAATGTGGCAGACGAGTATAGTTGGTCCCTCACCTAATGTAGCAGACAAGTATAGTTGATCCCTCACCTAATGTGGCAGACGAGTATAGTTGATCCCTCACCTATTGTGGCAGACAAGTATAGTTGATCCCTCACCTAATGTGGCAGACGAGTATAGTTGATCCCTCACCTAATGTGGCAGACGAGTATAGTTGGTCCCTCACCTAATGTAGCAGACAAGTATAGTTGATCCCTCACCTATTGTGGCAGACATGTATAGTTGATCCCTCACCTAATGTGGCAGACGAGTATAGTTGATCCCTCACCTAATGTGGCAGACGAGTATAGTTGATCCCTCACCTAATGTGGCAGACGAGTATAGTTGATCCCTCACCAATTGTGGCAGACAAGTAGTTGATCCTCACCTAACGTGGCAGACGAGTATAGTTGGTCCCTCACCTATTGTGGCAGACAAGTAGGCTATGATATAGTGGGATTTTAAACTTTGTTCTGTAAGTACGGTGTGCACATAGTATGTGTTCCGACTTAGTACAAATCCAACTTAAGAACGTCCCCAGGAACGGAACCCGTTTGTAACCAGGGGACCCCGTGTATATACAGGTACTCCTCGACTTACGACCACCTGGACATACGACCGCCGCAGTCGTATAAAATATTTTTCAAATTACGTATTTTCGAGTCCCGACGTTAGTGATTGCGCTGTGTACTGACAAAATTTTCGTTTGTAATTCTCATTAAAATGGCTGGCAAGCATAAAAGTGCGAGTTCTCGTGGTGCCGAGAAGAAAAAGAGACAACCATTTCAGATTTTCTGTATTATTTTCGCATTTTCGACTTACGACCTGGTAGTCGGTCCCTAACCCCGTCGTAAGTCGAGGGTTGACTGTAGTTCAACATGTATATAGACAATGTACAATACAGTACAGTTCAGTATAGAGAAAGGCACAGTCCAACTCTCATATTCCTCTTGGTATATTAAGTAATGACAGTGACACTATTTGAGAGGTTAAACATACAAATACTGTAAGTCTTGTCAAGGTGGAATTATCTCATAGGTTAAATATTTATACTCGTATACAATAGTGTTCACCTCCTGTCACAAGGGTGTTTGGTTTATGTCTGGCACCCTCAGTTAACCCAGCTGTGAATGGGTACTTAATTTCACTACAGTATTAGGAAAATGAAGGCAGTCAAGTACAGTGTTGATTGTTCCTTCTGCTCACACTACCACGTGAAACATTTTGGCTGAACATGATCTAGTTATTAAGAGCTCTTGTATTTTCTCTGTACCATGAGTGAAGACCATTTCCACTTAGGGTGTATAAACTGATCTCCACCATGAGGATCTCTTATGTGATCAACTGTGTGTTTCTTATGACAGTACACCAGGTGTGTGTGTGTGTCTGGTTATCATATGTTGAGTCTCCCATATATCGCTGGTAAATAGCAAATACAGTAGGTACATTATAAACTTGCTATATGCATTAATATAGTGACAGTAATATCTCCGTTAGCCGGAATCCCTCAAACCCGGAACTCTCTGATAGCCGGAATCCCTCAAACCCGGAACTCTCTGATAGCCGGAATCCCTCAAACCCGGAACTCTCTGATAGCCGGAATCCCTCAAACCCGGAACTCTCTGATAGCCGGAATCCCTCAAACCCAGAACTCTCCGATAGCCGGAATTGAAATTTTCTCGGAAAATCTTTCCCAAAGTTGAAAATTTCCAAAAAATTCTGGCTTTGGGAGCGATTTTCCGAAAAAAAAAAAATTTTCCGGTACCTGGAATTTTTTTTTTCCCGGTACCTGGAAAATTTTGAGGATGAGGGATTTTTCTCGGGCTTTGAGTCGTCTCGTTACCCGGAAATTACTCATTCCCGGAAGTTCTATGCACCAATTGTTCCGGCTAACGGAGATATCACTGAACAGTACAGTATTTATTTCCACCAAAGCACACCATAAACATTCCCCTTCTTCTATATTTGACAATTACTCATACAAATTGTTTTTCAAATGTGTGTGGATTACCTGGTAGCAAGGTGTCCCAGCTGTTATCAGGCTAAGTTGAAGCAAGTTTTATGGCTGGAAGTTCTTCCCATCACCAACTCACTTTAATATCTTCAGTTACGAGGAAAATGCAGCCTGTGAACTTGAGAATCCAATCCCTGATGTGTGCCACTCTAGTTGTTTGATGTACAGGTTAATGTTATCAAGAATCAGGTCTCAAGACTGAACATAAATGGCTTTAACCATCCCATGAGTTAACACACAACACCTTGGCCAACCTGCAGACACCACTACTTGCTATGTAATGAAAGACAAACACTATACTTTTAAAATTTATTCTAATAATATAAAAAATATAAATATATATATATCTGAAAACTACGGCTTTTTACATAAATGTGTGCAAAGATGAGAGCTCACTGACTCAAATTAGTTCTGTGATCCACTCACAGGACTAAAGATGCAAGAAACTGGCACAAATCAGAGTGAACATTTAGGAAGATTTAAGACATTAGTTGTATAGAGTATAATGATCATCACCTCTGGCCACCTTGCAAAAATCAGAAAGAGCCTTGTAAGGATCACGGACAATAGTGAATGAGATAACTACAGTATATTCAAACCAAACATTTCTCTACAATAATACTGTATGTGGGGAATAAATTCATTAAGATTTACCTATAAACACACCTGACAAATTCTCTGCTGTTCATTCCTAAAAAAAAATATAAATAAATAAATAAATAAATACATTAAAGTCTTCAGTAAATCATAAACCTTCATGAACTTATTAAACATTGTTTTCATACAATCATTTTTTTTCCCACTCTCACAAGCCCTTTCCCACTATGTTGCAGGATGACCACAACCAAAAAAGAGAACAGACTTCCACTTTATTCAGTAACTAATAAGATGACTGGTGCCGTATTGTATTTACAGTATTTGGGAGTTCAATATTTTGTTTTGTTTTTACTTTTGTGCTTGAACTTACAAATTTGATAAGGATCACCTGAATATTAAACCCCCTCTAGTTTATTTAAACTGACTAATGCTACCTGCAGGGTGTGTGAGGGGGGGGGGTCAGGTTAGGTTATTTAATCATCAGGTGAAATAATCTGGGGTGCTTAGTTTTCAGGTGATCCTTTGATAAGTCACACATTTTCAACAATGGTATGCTATGGATCCACTGTATAACTCCTTTAGTACAATGCCAAATCCTGAGTAAATGGAATGATTACAGTAACCTAAACCCTCGAGTACAAAGATTTAACCCCCGGAACACAGTGACCCAAGTCCAGTGAAACCTCTACTTAACGCACAATGTGGAAAGGAAAGTCCATTATAACGAGGGTACGTTGGATGGGAAACCCCCATCTAAGATTATATGGAGGTTTTACTGTATGTCTTAACCACTGGGCTTTGGGTTATAATCAGTATAACCCCCACCCCCCCCTCCAGTATATTTGGGAACACACAAAAATCAATCCTAGTTTTACATACTGGCCATCCATGATATAAACAGGGCATAAATACATGTCCTTACCACAGGTTGGCAACACGGGCTGGAAACAGTCGAGAATGTTCGTGAAGTGGCGTGTGTGTGACGCAGTGGTAACAAGGTAAACAACACTAACTTGTAGGCAGTATGAGGTACAGGACACTTGTTGTACTGTTTACACTATTAATGATCATTATTACTGAACCAGTAATTGATCACAACACCAGGCTTGTGCTGGGGTGGGGAGGGGGAAGAGAGACACACACCTGGTGAAAACTGTCAATTGATTGAAAAATGTTCAAAGGAGGGCCAACAGACTGGTGCCTGCTCTACGGTACCTCAGTTACCCAGAGGTTAGAACGCCTGCAACTACCTAGCTTATACTACAGACGGGCGAGGGAAGACCTAATCAAAGTGTATAAACATCTCAGGGGGCACTACCCAACCAAATGTACATACCTGGAGCTGGCGGACGTCCGCCCCACAAAGGGCAAACTTTTTAGGAGTGAGAGTTGTGAACTCTTGGAACAATCTGCCAGAGAGTGAGCTCATTCAAAGCCAGACTTGATCAACACTGGAGCAGGTTCTGATATATTCAGGAGCCAGTACATGCCGACAGTGTGTAACAGACGTGACCGACCGTCCAAGTGGCCAACGAGCCAATCAGTGGTGAAGGGGGGGAGTAAAAGTAAAAAGTAAGTCCAAGGGCAAGATTCTTACACCACAAAAGCTGAGAAGAGACTGGGAGGCTCTCATGTGTGAGTGAGTGAAAGATAAATACCTACCTCACAACATAATCTAGCCAGGCCCGTCCTCTTTATTCAAATACTCTCGCAAAATATAAAAATGTCACATGACATGACTTGAAGGTCTACAGGCGCACGTCATATGATGTGACCTAAAGCCTAGGGGTTAATCTTTTGAGTATGATAAGTTATTCCTCAAACACTAATCCTGTACTCAAGGGGCTAATAATTCACAAGTTATCCAGACCAGTACTGTGAAAATCCTCAAGTCAATTAACCAGTCAGTCTCATTCTTACTACAATATCAACAGAAACTTAAAACTAGGAAATAAAGACAAATATAAATAAAATACAAGTAAAAAGAAAAACAAATACAGTAAACCCTTGTCATTCCCAGCAAGCAGATGGTGGCTAGCCTGTGAGCCTCTCCCGCAGTGCAACAAGTCACCCCCACACCGTCTCCTCCTTGTTTGTGCTCAACCATTGCCTGTGATGCAGCATGTTTTGTGTTGTAATCAAATCTTTAGTTTCTAAGTAAAATGGCTCCTAAAAGACTGCCTAGTGTCAGTGCTAGTGGAGCGAAATGTAAAAGGCAGAAGTCAGCAATGACCCTGACAAAGAAAGTTGAATTACTAGACAAGTTAAAAGAGGGGATGAGTGCTGCCATGGCTGGTCAGTTGTTTGGTATAGGTATACAGTAGCGCACTAAAGTGATATTAATTGCTAATTGCAATTTTGCTTATTTGTCATTCCTTAGAACTTAACCCCCATGAATAACAAGGGCTTACTGTACAGAAAAATGAAACACAAGTAAAATGAAACACAAGTAAAATGAAACACAAATAAAATGAAACACAAATACAGTACAGTAAAAATGAAACACAAATGAAGTAAAACTCAATAATAATCTCAACTACAACACAGTAAACACAATGGGTATACTACAGTAGTTAAAAAAAATTTGTTCATCTTATACAGAATATAAAGCCATAGTGTTCCAGTAAAAACCATAGATAAAATACCCATAAAGTAGCTTTGTGTTGAGACCACCACAAGTACAGTAGTGTTATTGTTATCCCTCTGGTACACTTGGCCATGGTTGGAAATCTCACCCCCTTGCAGTCTTCCGACAGCTTGCATTGGTAAGATGAAACACTTTTTTTTCATTTTACTTAACATTGGGTTGCGTGTTCCAGACCCAGATTGTACCCTTAGAGATGAGCCTACGAGGCTAGTGGGAGGAACTTAGGTGGTGATTGGGCCAGTACACTGATCCAGCATTTGTGCTCTCAGTGTGAGATACTGGTGAGCAGGAGGGGCTGCACCAGCACAGGAGTGCTTACTGACACAATTTGCAATGAAAGACCACGATACAGTTTAGTTCCCGCCTGAATCACCCTTTTCTCAACTCACAAATAACATCGCCAATGTTCATATTCTATACAGTATTTTTGACAAGGTGGGCCTAAATTTTCCAGTTTCTGTACAACAACAGAAATTTCTCTCTTATTTGTTAAGGAATATGTAACTGTTCCCAATAACTGAAAACATCTCTCCAGCGGGCCACTATAAACCTAACTACTTATACTTACACTTAAAATCTCACTTGTAGTAGAATATAAAGGATGTTCATGAATTATCTGACCCATTTAAAATCTTATAACCTCAAGAATATCATATACAGAATGTGCTAGTTTTATTATACTTGATGTGAGAAGAGAGCGGGAGAGAGACTATTGAGCTGTCTGAGAAGCCCAATAAAATCAACGAGTTCCTATACAATGTACTTGAAATTATTAGTTTAAAATAGCTCAGACATAATTTATAAACATCCTCTATATATGTTTAAAATGTTTAGAAAGTAGCAGCAGACCTCACAAGCTCTAAGTAATGGTACCTCTTTTTAGCATTGCAATACAGATTAGTATACAGTATAAATTCAAACAAAAAAGCATTGCTAACTTGTTTTGCATTATCTGAAGAAAAATTCTTAAGTGTTAGTATATCTTGTACTAGTTCAGGTTGGCTACAAAAACCTAGTGTCTTCATCATCTTTGCTTAAATGCCATAATCAGAATTCTCAGCCGAGTTACTGTACTGTGGATACATCGACTCAGCCAAGGCCCGAGAGTAATCCGAGTACAGGTATATATAGAAAAAGTAGAAAAATTCCTAATATAAAACATAATTGAAATGGCAGTGAAAAAAATTTTCCTAAGTAAGACAAGACAGCAAAACTCAGCATCATTAATCTACTGAGAGATTTCTTCCAACACAAACACTAACTACTTATACCACACCAATCAATAAATACATATCAATTCAGAAACATGACTGTATCCCCAGCTGAATTTCCTTATTCTACTCAAACAATAAAACACTTATAAAAAGGTAAGGTTCAAAAAATATTTAAAACAGTCACAAGAAGGGTTACATTCATAAAACAATGGGGGGTATATGGTCTTTCTTCATTCATGCACATTTTCAGTCATACAGCACTGCAGGATGACCACACATTTACACTTAACGTAGTAAATAGGAGTTCCCCCCCCCCTCCCCACCCATGTTAAAAAATGAAGTACAAGGAACACGAAACTTCCACTGATGATGACCACCGTCCCTACAGCTAGCTTCCACTGATGATGGCCACCGTCCCCACAGCTAACTTCCAGTGATGATGGCCACCGTCCCTACAGCTAACTTCCACTGATGATGGCCACTGTCCCTACAGCTAACTTCCACTGATGATGACCACCGTCCCTACAGCTAACTTCCACTGATGATGACCACCGTCCCTTCCACTAGCTGATGATGACCACTACGCTGATGATGACCACCGTCCCCCACTGATGATGACCACCGGCTGGCACTGATGATGACCACCGTCCCTACAGCTGATGATGCTTCCACTGATGATTCCTACAGCTAACTTCCACTGATGAACAGCTGATGATGACCACCGTCCCTACAGCTGATGATGACCAGCTCCACTGATGATGACCACCGTCCCCCACTGATGATGGCCAGCTAACTTCCACTGATGATGACCACCGTCCCTACAGCTAACTTCCACTGATGATGGCCACCGTCCCTACAGCTAACTTCCACTGATGATGACCACCGTCCCTACAGCTAACTTCCACTGATGATGAGACTTCCACTGATCCCTACAGCTAACTTCCACTGATGATGACCACCGTCCCTACAGCTAACTTCCACTGATGATGGCCACCGTCCCTACAGCTAACTTCCACTGATGATGACCACCGTCCCTACAGCTAGCTTCCACTGATGATGGCCACCGTCCCCACAGCTAACTTCCAGTGATGATGACCACCGTCCCTACAGCTAACTTCCACTGATGATGACCACCGTCCCTACAGCTAACTTCCACTGATGATGACCACCGTCCCTACAGCTAACTTCAACTGACCGTGGAAGCCATTTAAATGTTAAGTAGATAAATAAGAGATGAAGCAGAACAGAAGAAAGCAAGAATGTAATAACTGGACTGATATATATTATGGAGAGCCATGTAAGGTAGACTGTGGAGATGTACGTAAAGGCTCTGAATAAAGAGGCATAAAAAACATAGAAGTAAGATGTTGAAATAATAGGTGACAGAAAACAGATCAGGGGTTAAGGTGATAAATAGAGGGAAAAGAAGAAATGACAGAGTATAATTAAGAGAGAAAAGAAGAAATGGCAGAGTATAATTAAGAGAGAAAAGAAGAAATAGTAGAGTATAATTAAGAGATTCATAAAGAAACATGAAGAGAAAAGGTTTGAAATCCTCAGTAACTTCATACATGCAAATAAAAAGAGTCACTCAATCGACCACCTTAAAATATTGTCATGCATTTAATACACTAAATGAGCCAAGAGGTCAACCAGATAAAGTGGTTAAATTACTGTTGTCTCCGAGTACAGCACGGCCATTCTGGAGCTCAGGCAAGAGAACAACAACACCCATAGTAGTTCCTAAGTACGATCTTGATCTTGAGTGGTGGGTACAGTACAGCATAGTACCTCATCTATACATCATTCTTAATATAAAAATTACTGACTATACTATATCTGACTGGTTTCTTATATTATGTACATCTCTATTCACTACATGTTTTTGGTTTTGTTCCCACCCCAACTTTCAAATTTTTTTTCAACTATAGTATGAGATGGCTGGAATCAAGAGCCTATATATTATAGCATACAGGGTGGCACACGAGTCGCTTTAACAAAACACCGTACTTGTTCTTGGTAAAGCGACTTATGTGTCACCCTGTTCGTGTAAACAGTATGTGTCAATGAGCTAATACACAGCAGAAAATTACAATCAAGATTTTTGTTTTATCTAAATACTTTAAAGTACCGTGCCTTGTCTGCACAGAACAGGTAGGTACCAATGTTTGGTTGCACCATAGTAATAGTTCAAATATTTACGATATATCTATACCCACAAAAGACTTATAGCCAATAGATATAGAAATCTTTGTTCAATGGCACTTTTTTTTCCATACATAAGAAATTGTAACACAAACACACACACACACACACTGTATATAATTTAAATGTACAAATACAACAAATAATGAATGAAGAATAAAGGACAAGAAATATTCATACCACACATTTCCATACATTTGATCTGAGAGTAAAAAGTTTGTTTCTACATTCATTCATTCCAAGTGCATAAAATTCCTACTGAAAGAACTATTGTACACCCAGCAATACTGAACTAATATAAACACACTCACAACCACAGGTCATAACCTTCGTAAACTTCTCTTACACTTATTTGAGAATATTCCGGCCCCCTGTCTCGTGCGGGGTTTAAGTACGGTACAGTCTTGAAGCTTACGGTGGGAGGGAAGGGCACAGCGGGTACAATAATCATAGCCACAAGTCTTACTAGAGCATACTGCCCTATGCTGAGGCTTTTGTACCTTAGCAGGAGCCTTACATTTCACACACTTCTGCAGTTGCTCTCCCTGAGGAAGCTTCCGGCCTTCCTGAAAAATAGAACAAGAATATACAGTAAGTAGACTTAACTAAGATGATTCTGAACTTATCTTCATTATCCGGGAAGACTAACAAATCTTGAGTACACATCTCTAACTTGAGTGGCTAATAATATAGCCAAATAAGGTACAGTATCTCAGCATTGAAGTTGTTAAATTCTTATTCTGTAGGTGAGCAAAAAGTAGAAAGGTTTTGTATATAAGACTGAGTTTGACCAAGGGTAAAGAGGATAAAGAGAAATGCCATTGAAATAGTATACAGTATAAAATAAATACTGTACTGTACACAGGCATTTCCACTTTATGAAAGGGTTCTGTTCCTGAAAAAAAAAAAAAAAACATTTTATATTAAGGATCACATTTTCCCATATTTCTAATGACAATCTTGGTGAACACATTGATTGTAAGTCAACAATGAACATAATACATAAAATATATGCAGTATAGTATAATACTAATTTTATACCTGCAAAGTAAACAGCATAAAACACGAAGACATCTCTAGTATATTAAATACATTACAACGATTTCATTCTATAATTGGAGATACATCCCCAGTAATTTCTCTCTCTCTCTCACACACCACATGTAAAAAAATTATTGCTCCACTCAGAATATTTCTTTTCCTCATTCCTGCAAGCCCCTTCCAGTGTACTGCAGGGCAGGCTGTGCAGATTAGCAGTACCCGGCAGCCTAGCCAAGCAAGTGATTTTTCATGTCCATGTGCCCAGCAGATAAGTTAATAATTTAAGTGGTAAATATTTAGAGGGGAATTTATCACGTGACATGTTTAACCTGGAAGGGCATCAGTGTACAGTCGACCCTCGTTAAAACGGACCCCTTTAATCCGGATATCGGATAAATCGGACAAAATCTGAATTAAGCGAGGGAGTGTCCGTGTCAAATTTCTGGTTCTGGGATTGTCCGATAGATGGCTCGCACGCACCAGACCGCCAGTCATTGTTGACTTAGCGCCATATTCGAGAATCAGTGTTGTGTTGCCCTGCAATTTTCGTTGAAATTTCAGTGATTAGGCATCTTTCAGCATTGTATTTTACATCATGTCTTCAAGGGGGAGTAATACGCCGAAGAGGAAGTATGTGACCCTTTCTGTGAACCAGAAACTGGAACTTATAAGGAAGTTAGAGGCTGGTGCTTTGGTGGCTAGAGTTTGTAACGAGTTTGGTGTTAAAAAGCAAACAGTTTCGGACATACGCAAGGCTAAGGACAAACTCACTGCATTTTCTTTGAAATATAATGCAATATTAACCCCTAAATCGGTTAATTCGGACAATCGGCTAAAACGGACACCCTTCCCCCCCCTATCAGTCCGAATTAACGAGGGTCAACTGTACTGTACCAGGATAAATGACTTAGATCACTATACCCAGGAATTGGCAGGAGGGGGACTTGAACTAAAAACTTACCAAGGTAACGTATTGTTGAAATGAGATAATTAATAATTCTCTGTTGTACTTTTGTTGTTGTTGACATTGTTAGTGATGCTATTATTGTTATTCATTTCAATATCGTTATTATTTTTCTTTTCTTATCGTTAAAAATGGTTTACTAGCACAAGCGGAGGCGACGGGGGGTGGGGGGTTGACTCCCCCTTCAGTACACCTATGATGTCAGGTACAGGTAAGCCACCTCTACATTAAGTGGCTTACCTGGTTAACATTTCAAAGGAACCACCAAGCTGAGGGGCTGTATATGTGAGATGACAAGTTATGACCTCACATAACAAGCGACAGGAGTTGCGACATCACATGTCAAGGGTTACTGCCACTGACACCATTTAGAGTTAAAAAGACAGCAGTGATCTTTGAGTTAATAAACAATAAATTTGAAAGTTTTAAAATGTTTACGTATTTAACTTTTCCCATAAAAATATTTGAGTAAGCAAATTTCCTTCAAAAATTTGTGAGGGGAAGTAAAAAATAAAAAAATAAAAAAATAAAAAATATCCGGACAAGTAAATTTCAAAAGTCAATTGCCGGGAACAAGTAAATGTTGCACATAAACTGCACAGCCTGCTGCAGGGCGACCACAGCCAATGGCAAACACGGCCTCTCTTCATTCAATCATTTGACCAAAAGAAAAATACTAACAAAAATGAAGATTAGACACTCCTGTTTATTTCACCTGAAGATTAACCACCCCGGTGCTAACCTAGAGGTTAATATTAACCCTTTAACTGCTCATTATGTCAGTGGGACTCATCCTTGTGTGTGCATTATTTTGAGGACATTCAAAGCTCTCAAAATACAATAATAAACCTATCAACAGTTACATATGAATCTGAATAAATAAAATACAGAGTATAAAAGCTTTACTGTACTCAGTTTGAATAGTGCACCCCAGAGGTGTGAAGTGAGTTAGTGTGGTGGGGGCCGGGACTATTTGAATAAAGAGGACGGGCCTGGGTAGATTATGCCGTGAAGTAGGTATTTATCTTTCACTCACACATGAGAGCTTCCCAGTCTCCTCTTAGCTTTTGTGGTGTAGTGGGGTGTTGAGTCGAAGCTTCGGGACATGTGCATCAGTTTTCTATGACTAAATCATACGGGTATCTTTACCTTTCTTCAACAGTTATTGAACAGACTAATTAGTGTGTATTGTTATCGGGGGAATATTTTACCATAGTCATTACACTAAAAAAGGCATACATATTTGACCACTATACTTGAATACTTTAAAATCTTGTATTGTATGTGTAGGTAATGGGGACATTGGACCTTGAGTAGCTAAGGCCTAGGGAGTGTAGTGTTTGAAAAATTGGCATGCACTTCTTGATCCTCAATCGGGGTCAGGGGCAGTCAGCAGCACCCGCCCCTGATCGTGGACAGTAAAGGGTTAAGGTCAACCCTCCCGTGCCCTCAATAAGTTTTTATGTTCCGTGACCACAACAAAAGTCATATGGGACCACTCACATGAGGTCTGGTCGACTCCGTTCTGCGGCCAATTTATCCCACAAGAAATCATTTTTTTCCCATGACTTATACATCACTGGCTTCAATATTGTCTTGGCTTTAACATAACCAGGAAAAAGTTTTTCATTCCAATTAAAGAGAAAAAATATTTGTGCTCCCGGCATCATATCTCGGATGTTTTCTCACAGACCTACCAAGTTATTACATATTTATACAAGTGGAATTTTATGACCTTTCCAACTGTATATAACTTTGGAATTTTGATACGACCAATAGTGGGAAGGGTGGGAGAGGAGATAGAGACGAAGCATGGCTGACGGGAGGAAACTGATGGTACTTTGTGGAAGTTTCCCTCACAAGATCATACAGTCATCTATGATGCACGAAAAGTTGACGCAATTACTGCATCTTGACAATTTGTGTCACTGATACAAATAGTGTCCCATGCCCGGGTGGGCTAATCCCAGGTATAAAATAAAAACATAAAAAAAATATATAACGTATATAAAAATAAATAAATAAAATATTAATAATAAATATAAAATAAATAAAATCTTTTACTTCCTCAGCAGTTCTTTGCCCTCATATGAAGTAGAACTCAACCAGTCCAGAGATTTCGTCAAGAGAGAGCAGTCTAATCTACCCGGCCAACACCAACAGAAAAATGATAACCCACCTCCATAAATTTATCAGACAAAGTAAGACTCTTGACACCAACAGTAGGAGGCACCTTCTTGGGGCTAGCTGGGTGAGGGTCCTTCTTAGAACTGGCTGTGTTGATGTTCTCGATGGCGCACAGCTCCTTACGTGGTGATAACGTGCCAAGCGAAGAAGATGCACCTCCTTCATGCAGTCTCTTCAGTTTAAAATTCTCCTAAAAACACGTTGAGTATTTAGTTGAGATTAAATGTACTCGGATAAACTAACTTCATATTTACCATTGTTTGTATACACGCTCTGTTTTGGTATACGAGAAATTAAAAATAGCTGCATTGTCTATATACAGTACATGCTGAACTGTATACCTCCAGTCTATATACTGTACATGCTAATCTGTATACCTGCAGTCTTTATACATATTGAACTGTATTGTCTATGCATATACTGTATGTGTTGAACTATACTGTATACATGTTGAACTGTATACTGTATATTACTTGCATTACATATATTTAACAAACCAATTGTAAACTTGTACGATGATTTTTACTGAATGAATATCTATCACCTAAACGACACAAGTCACCAAAGATGAATGTTGACCACAGTCTTTAGGTGAGGTAACTTTACCATTCTTAATAGTGGAAGGAATGTTAAGTCTCCTGTACTGCTGAATACTTACTACAGCACGTTTATAAATTATAGATAAAAGAATAACTAGACGTAGAGGATGAGAGAAAACGGGAGAAAGAGAAAATTAAGAGAAAGAAAAATAGAAAATGCTTAAGTATACTGTACAATAAAACTGATAACTATCTTCTGTCTAACATTTTTGAGGTTACAATATTAAGAGAATCAGTTAATTAAAGGTCACCTGTAGAGAGTATACATACAGTGGGGTATGCTATAATGAACGGATCCTACTACGAATATTCCTATAACGAACGGTTTTACCTATAAAATTGAGAATGCTCTAACGAACGAAACTCCTACAACAAACATTATTTAATTTTTTTTTTACTAATTTATTGTTTTTTTATAACAAGTATTAATGATATTCTTTATTTCAGGGGTTTAGATGCACATTTATGCACTTTTTTTTAAATTTTATATTATATTTTTCAGTGTTCAGTGGTTGTATTTGGGGGCCTGGAACGGATTAATCCTATAACGAACAAGGTTCTAGAACCAATTAGATTCGTTATAGCATACCCCACTGTATAGCTAATCACTGAACCACCAAGATTTTAAAACCATAAACCAAAACAAAAATACAATGGGCCAACCTTTCCCACTTCTCTCTTTTCCTTGAGCCGTGCATTAATAAAAGTCATTCTTCTGGAGTTAAGGGTTTTATCCTGAAGAACGATCTGCCGCAGCTGCTGGCTCACATGACTGACGTGGACGAGTTCTTGGCCGGACAAGTACTCCAGGATGTTGAACACCAGGTATTCTGCGTCCTTCAGCAGTCGTATGAACACGTGTTGGGGTTTTCTACGCTTTACGATGCATCTCATTAGTGGTGACTTGGGCTGAGTTGTATCATCGCTATGAGTATACCGTTTTGGTAAGGTGCCGGTTGATTTTGTTTGTTTGATAACTGTAGATGTTCTTTGTTTGACTGTAGGTTCATTTTCTGTAGACTTTATTTGTTCATAAACTGTACATTTGACTGTAGACTTTATTTGTTCAGTAACTAGAGATTTGATTGCAGACTTTATTTGTTCATAAACTGGAGATTTGACTGTAGACTTTATTTGTTCAGTAACTGGAGATTTGACTGTAGACTTTATTTGCTCAGTAACTGGAGATTTGACTGTAGACTTTATTTGTTCAGTAACTGGAGATTTGACTGTAGACTTTATTTGTTCATAAACTGTACATTTGACTGTAGACTTTATTTGTTCAGTAACTAGAGATTTGATTGCAGACTTTATTTGCTCAGTAACCGGAGATTTGACTGTAGACTTTATTTGTTCAGTAACTGGAGATTTGACTGTAGACTTTATTTGCTCAGTAACTGGAGATTTGACTGTAGACTTTAATTGTTCATTAACCGTAGATTTTGTTCGTCCCGTGACCATCAGTTCACTTTTGGGAAAGACATTGCCCACCTCCTCACCACATTCCCCCTCACAGGTCATCTCCAGCTCACAACTCTCGAGAGGCGTGGTGATGTACAGGGCCGAGTCCCCGAGGGAGATCTGCCGGGACCGAGACGTGTTATCAGTGAGTGCCTCAATCTTGGGTAACGGGGGACTGAATACTTCACCGCCATCATGAGTAATGTAGCTCTGAGGGGTACTTGTTAATCTGAAACAAGTTATAATGTTAGTTTTATTATATTCAAACATTGTAGAGATGAAAATAACATCAGCTCTGGTACCATGATCTTTAACTATGACTGAGGACTGACTGACTGATATGACATGACATGACATGACATTTTAAACGACTGAAACTCATAACGTTTAACCGGAAGACGACGATAGTTAATGTCTTTGATGATGGTGGTTTAAACCCTCGAGGACAATGATTTAACCCTCCACGACTCAAAGGAATTAAAACAAATAAATAATCACCTGGTAATTGTCCGTTTAGTAATGTCCGGAGTGAGGCAATACACATCCTCTTTTATTGCATCGCCCCGGGACAGCTGTAGGGGCCCTCGGCTGAACTCTGGCGAGGTGAAGACGTCGGAGCTGTAGCCAGAGTCATTGGTGGAGTTATCTGGTCGAGGGGCTGCCAGGTGTAGTCGGTGTTGTTTGTCCTCCACCGCCTCACCTCCTACCTCATCCTCCATCTTTCCTTGACTGAAATGATGAAGAAATACTGCATTAGACCTTAACTATTATGAGAGAGAGAGAGAGAGAGAGAGAGAGAGAGAGAGAGAGAGAGAGAGAGAGATTATCTTTATAATACATACAGGTAATACAGCGATGGATTGATGAAGTAGACGTGAGATAAAGGAGAAAAGAAGGTTGTATTAGGCCAAGGAGATGGTTGGTAACAAGGTGGGGTACTGGAGGTCAAGTGCAGGGCCACAAGAGAGGTTTACAAGGTGGGGTACTGGAGGTCAAGTGTAGGGCCACAAGAGAGGTTTACAAGGTGGGGTACTGGAGGTCAAGTGTAGGGCCACAAGAGAGGTTTACAAGGTGGGGTACTGGAGGTCAAGTGTAGGGCCACAAGAGAGGTTTACAAGGTGGGGTAGGAGGTGAGGTTTACAAGGTGGGGTACTGGAGGTCAATAACAAGAGAGGTTTACAAGGTGGGGTACTGGAGGTCAAGTGTAGGGCCACAAGAGAGGTTTACAAGGTGGGGTCTGGAGGTCAAGTGTAGGGCCACAAGAGGTTACAGGTGGGGTACTGGAGGTCAAGTGCAGGAGCCAAGAGAGGTTTACAAGGTGGGGTACTGGAGGTCAAGTGCAGGGCCACAAGAGAGGTTTACTGGAGGTGGGGTGTACTGGGGTACTGGTCAAGTGTCAAGGTGGGGGTAGGGCCACAAGGAGGTTTACAAAGGGTGGGGGGAGGTCACAAGAGAGGTGGGGTACTGGAGGTCAAGTAGCCAAGGTGGGAGTACTGGAGGTCAAGTGTTTACAAGGCCTATGCACTGGTCAGGTCTGAGGTTTAAGTGTGGGGCCAGGTGAGAGGTTTACAAGGTGGGGTGCTGGAGGTGAAATGCAGGGCCACAAGAGAGAGGGGCCACAAGAGGTTTACAAGGTGGGGTGCTGGAGGTCAAGTGCAGGGCCAGAGGTTTACAAGGTGGGGTACTGGAGGTCAAGTGTAGGGCCACAAGAGAGGTTTACAAGGTGGGGTACTGGAGGTCAAGTGTAGGGCCACAAGAGAGGTTTACAAGGTGGGGTACTGGAGGTCAAGTGTAGGGCCACAAGAGAGGTTTACAAGGTGGGGTACTGGAGGTCAAGTGTAGGGCCACAAGAGAGGTTTACAAGGTGGGGTACTGGAGGTCAAGTGTAGGGCCACAAGAGAGGTTTACAAGGTGGGGTACTGGAGGTCAAGTGTAGGGCCACAAGAGAGGTTTACAAGGTGGAGTACTGGAGGTCAAGTGTAGGGCCACAAGAGAGGTTTACAAGGTGGGGTACTGGAGGTCAAGTGCAGGGCCACAAGAGAGGTTTACAAGGTGGGGTACTGGAGGTCAAGTGTAGGGCCACAAGAGAGGTTTACAAGGTGGAGTACTGGAGGTCAAGTGTAGGGCCACAAGAGAGGTTTACAAGGTGGAGGACTGGAGGTTTACAAGGTTAAGAAACATAAACAGAACACATTAGTGGACATGTTGAACAGTACAGATACAAGAAGAGAGGTTTTCAGAATAGTCGGGTAAATAATGGGTTGTGATTGACAGCCTAGGGGTAGTAGAACCAGTACAGGAACCATGATTAAGAGAGAATGAGCAAAGAAAGCAATTACTATAATGAAGAATGGAAAGGTGGCTGGAAGCTCTGGGATAGTTGCAGAATAGCTCAAGAGTATTTGCAGGTGTCAAGAGTGATCAAAATAACTAAGGCAATTATGGTGGACTATGCTGCTACAGACGACTGGAGGAAGAGTGTGAGTGTGAATATTTACTGTACATGGGTAAAGATGATGCACTTGAATGTGGGAACTACAAGGGCCCAGAAATTGATAAGGGAGAGTAGACATAAAGTAAATACAATTTGGGCTTATGCCAGGTAGGAGGACTACAGAGACAATTTTTATGGCCAGAGAACTACAAGAGAAGTATCTAGAGAAGGAGAGAAAATTGCACTTTGTATCTGTATATTTAGAGAAGGCATTTGACATGAAGTAGTAAGGCAGAGTTGCCACAGAAAATTTAAAAATAAATTCCCTGACTATATAAAGGAGACAAAATAAGTAAGTTGAGGTTTTGTGTGAGTGAAGCAGGATAAGGTGGTCACACTGGAGGATGTACAATATAGTATTCACCCACATTATTGAACTTGTCATCTGGGTTTTGGCCATGGCCAGCCCAATGAGTGTAAAGACTCAGTGATCCATTAAACTAATTTTATAATAGGAATCATATAAAGATGAGGCCTCCTCCTCCTCCTCCCCTCTCTGCCCCTTATAGCCTCCAACTTCCACCAAACGAATTTTTTTTAATTTTGTTGATTTCATTTTCTTACATGAATTCAACATCAGTTTACAAATTAACACTAAATTACAGTGGGGTATGCTATAACGAATGGATTCTACTACGAGTATTCCTATAACGAACGGTTTTACCTATAAAATTGAGAATGCTATAACAAACGAAACTCCTACAACGATTTTTTTACTAATTTATTGGGTTTTTTTATTACAAGTATAAATGATATTCTTTATTTCAGGGGTTTAGATGCATATTTATGCACTTTTTAAATGTTATTACAATTTTATATTATATTTTTCAGTGTTAAGTGGTTGTATTTGGGGGCCTGGAACGGATTAATCCTACAACGAACAAGGTTCTAGGACCAATTAGATTCGTTATAGCATACCCCACTGTAACTTATGCAAAGAAATATACAAATTAAAAAATGTAAAAAAATAAATAAATTTCAAAAGAAAAATATATAAGTGAAGAAGCAAAACTGGTCTTTAAATACACTCAATGCAGTATACAGTACAGTTGTGTTCTGACCTCGCTAGAGGAAAGGTCATAGCAGACTTAGCTCCCGGGAATAAATTGTCAGTAATGACTAGTGCTACTTGTGAACAGGGCTGTGCCCTTCAGAGGGCCGAGTTAGAGAAGGTCAAAGAAGAAAACTTGAAATTAAAGGAAGTGATAGCGAGGATGAAGGAAGAAGACTCGAGACAAGGAAAGCCCGTGTCTGACGAAAACTCAGGCGAATGGAAGGTTGTGAGGAGAAGAACGACCAAAATAGTAGTGAGAAAAGACACCAAGGAAACGACAACAACAGCTAAGTGTACCAACTCTTTCAGTCCTTTGATAGACGAATTAGACGTTAGCATAGTCAGGGACAGAGGCTGAGAGGGAAGGTACGAAAACCTTAATTGTTAGCAATTCTCAGGTACGGTACCTAGATAGAGCTTTTTGTGGTAGAAATAAAAATAGGATGAGGGTGTGTTTACCAGGAGCTGGGGTGGGGGATATAGTTGACAGGATGGACAATATCTTGTCTGGTAATGGGAACAAACCCATTATCTGCCTTAGTGCAGGAGGGAATGATATTGGTCGGTGTAGGAGTGAGGAGCTTCTTGATAAGTTCAAGACAGCTATAGATCGTATTAGGGTGAAGGGAGGGATCCCTATCATATGTGGTGTCCTGCCTAGAAGGAGAGTTGGCAACAAATGGTTGTCAAGGGCAGTTGGTGTCAAAGGCCATCTTGACAGATATTGCAAGTCAATATCAATCCCATTCATTGACAACTGGGACAACTTTTATGGCAGAAGGGACCTTTATGCTTGGGATGGGGTGGCAACCCTGCCTGGCTCTCTTGAGAGGGCAGTTCAAAAGATGTTGAAGTCTTTAAACTGCTAGGGGAACATAGGGGCACGTGGGTGGAGGAGACTGCAGTAGGAGTAGGTAAACAAAGTGAAAGGTTACAGAGAAACAGTGCTAGGAATGATGACAAAACTAAATTAGGTAGGGAGTTAAAACCTAAACGTGTCAAAGAGAGGACTCACAACACAACTGACTTAAATGTCTACTACGAAAACAGTAGAAGTATGAGAAACAAAATGGATGAAACCAGGGCGTTGGTATGTACCGATAAAAATCGATATAATAGCATTCCCCGAAACATGGATAAACCTAGACTCACGAGTTACCTGTCGAATACCAAATTGCAGCTTACAAATTATTCCATACCGATAGGCAGATTAGGAAAGGAGGTGAAGTAGCAATCTACATCAGGGATAATTTGAAGTGTGAAATCAATAAGGAAATAAAAACTGAACTGAATGCAGAAACAAGTTGGATAGAATTAATCGATAAATGACTTATTTGGGATGAAATTTGCAGAGCTTCTATACATAGCAAAGTCTGTATAGTAGGCAACTTTAACTTTAGCCAAATAGATTGGATCGACCTTAAGGGTAACTCAGAATCAAGAGGATTTTCTTGAAACAGTTCAGGACTGTTTCCTAAGCCAACATATAACCAAACCCACCCGGGGTAATAATATACTCGATTTAGTTCTGTCAAATAGAGAAAACCTCATTAGTAGTATCGAGGTAGGGAACGAACTTGCCAACAGCGATCACAAAGAAATAAGATTTCAATTAGAATTTAATGGCAGATGCAAGGAAAATTCCATTAAAGTCCCAAATTTCAGAAGGGCAAACTGTGATAGGTTGAAAAGGCAGCCGAGAGAAGGGGTATCACATGACCTCACACAATGTACCCACAGAGGGCGACTTTACTTCACCTGGAGACCTGACAACGATAACCTCACAAAATATGACGGTTGAGAACGACATGATCACGAGATCTGAGGTTGACGAGTTCCACAACAATTTAAATGAGTTACTTAATGCACAAAGGCAGAACATACCATACAGAATACTCAGATCAGACAACAATGACCCTAAATGGAGAAATAATTATTTAAAGAATATTATTAGACAAAGGAAGGCTATAGGTAGAAGAAAATAAATCGTGGTGAAGTTTACCTCTGAGATTATAAGGTATTGGCCAGTAGGGTTAAGACCGAGATAAAAAAGCAAAGAGGAATAATGAACTGAAGGTAACAAGGGAGGCGAAGTCAAACCCCAAGGGATTCTTTCAAATGTATCAAACTAAAACACGAGAAAAAATTAGACCAATACAGTCAGATACCGGCGAGCTAACTGACAACGACAGAGAAATGAGCAATAATCTGAATAAATATTTTTCAACAGTTTTCACCACCAAAAATTTAAACATGAATAACCGAGGCACCGACTATATACAGAGATAGTGAAGAAAATAGATTAAGCAAGACAGTAGTGACTAGTAACGATGTTAGTAAGCAAATAGACAAACTAAAGCCTAATAAGTCACCAGGTCCCGATGAGATATTGCCAGAGTATTAAAGGAATGTAAGGAAGAGCTTAGTATGCCCTTAGCAAAGTTGTTTAACGTCCTTAAAAATGGGTGTAGTGCCAGAATCCTGGAGGATAACGAATGTAATACCGATTTTCAAGAAGGGAGATAGATCACTATCCTCTAACTACCGTCCAATCAGCTTAACATCAATTGTAGGCAAATTACTGGAAGCAATCATTTCAAACTCTATTCGAAATCACCTGGAGAAGCACAAGTTGATCAATGATTCCCAACATGGTTTCACAAGCGGGCGTTCATGTCTAACTAATCTATTAATATTATTTTCAGGTGTTTTCAAATCAGTGGACGAGGGGCACGACTATGATGTGGTATATCTTGACTTTAGTAAAGCCTTCGACAGAGTCCCCACAAAAGACTAATAAGAAAAGTGGAGGCTCATGGCATTGGAGGAGTTATTCTAAAATGGATTAGTGCGTGGTTACAGGACAGAAAACAGCAAGTGAGCATTAACGGCACAAAATCCGATTGGAGTAACGTCACTAGTGGAGTACCCCAAGGCTCAGTACTTGGACCATTATTATTTATTATACTGTGTACATAAACAACATAGATATCGGCATAGACAGCAACGTAAGTAAATTTGCCGATGACACTAAAATGGGGCGTGTATTAAATCTGATGAGGACTCCGCAATACTACAGGAAGAACTAAACAAATTTTTTGAATGGTCTGAAAAATGCCAGATGAAATTCAATGTGGACAAATGTAAAGTACTTAGTCTAGGAGATGTAAACAGAGAAACCAGATATCAGATGAATATCGATGTTATAGAGAAATCAGAATGTGAGAAAGATTTTGGGGTAATGATAAGTAGGAATCTTAAGCCAAGTAAACAATGTGTTATTGCGCGAAACAAGGCTAATACAAAGGAGTGTTAGTTACAAGACTAGCGAGGTCATCCTGAAGCTATATCTTGCGCTTGTGAGACCTCACTTGGATTACGCAGTTCAATTCTGGTCACCGTATTACAGAATGGATATAGAATCCCTAGAAAGAATTCAGAGGAGAATGACAAGACTAATCCCAGGCATTAGGAACCTCGAGTACAGAGACAGGTTAAAGCACCTTAATTTGCACTCCCTTGAGAGATGTAGAGTGAGGGGCGATATGATAGAGGTGTATAAATGGAAGTCAGGGCTGAACAAATGGGAAATTGCAATGGTACTCAAACTTTCCTGTATTGCGCACATCATTGTCATCCTTAATATCTTTTATTCATATTACGCTACATAACATTCAAATCCACTGAGCTTGTAGTGTCACAGAAAACAGGAAACTTTGGTAAGGGATAACTCACCTACTGTATGTTGTTTTATACGAATTGTACCAATGTACGGGCATATATTAAGTGTATGTACTGATAGTATTAAGGAGTAAGGATAGCTCAAGGTATCTATAGGATGATTGGGAAGGTCCAACTTATACGGACTAGTGCACTATAAGGGATAAGTGTAGATCGGGTCTGAAGGTCATAATATTTACGTCTGTGAACGGTTAGTAAACATAGCTACCGCAGATATCAAATGAAAATATATGAGAACAATGATCTGGAGAAGGGATAAATGTTTCAGACCTATGTGAAGTGTTGGAAGTGATCCACAAACTATACTTCAAAGAAAATATCTTGTGTACCTCGTTACCCCATGTGACGACTAACCACGAACAGTGCAATGATCAGATCTTATAAACGTGTTCAACGATTACAACGTGTGAGGGGAGGATCCCTAAATACAGAGTGAAGCAAAGTGGATACACCCACGCCAAGAAAACACGAGCCTAGGCCTTTGTTCTAGGTTGGCGACCAAGACACCCCGGGCTATGGTGGCGAGTTATTGTTATAACCCAATGAATTTCCCCAGGAATTAGCAAACCAGACCCTTACTTTAGTATGTAATTTAGAATTAAAATATATAATTATAAGGCATAAAGTAATAATAGATAAGAAAGTGTATATGTGAGAACCAGAATAATGTCAAAGTGAAAATTAAAGATTGAAAACTGTAGACCTAGTTCAGTGTGAGACGCCAGGCATCGCCCTCAGTGACGCCCGGCTTCTCACCAAAACAGGTCAGTGAACTCCATCGTGCATCATCAGTACTCAAGTGGCTTATCTAGCAGTTATATACATTTTAAAACCTTGCCTAATGTTATAAAGTGTGTGGTGATATAAACGCCCCTTAAGCATGCTCAGTGATGCCTGACTTCTCACCAAAACAGGTGTGCACCCAGAGCGAAGGTCTAACAACCACCACTGCTCCACTGTGAGGAACCCACCGGGTGTTGTGTGTTCTGCTTATGGCCAGTATGCTCCTCCACTGTGAATACCCTACATATCACCACCCAGGATAGGAGAACATGATTGTGTGTTTGAGAAGTTTCGCAGTTGCCAAGTGGAGTGACCTAAGAATACCAGGCGTGGAACCAGTACTGGTATGATTATCTGGGAAGTATCCCATCTACTCAGCAAGAGTAGAGTGTGAACGAGGTACCTGGTATGTGTACCTAAGAATACCGAGGAGTTTCATACTTGTAGGTGTGGAGTGAAAGGAGATGTGGTGCTGTGATATAACATGTGGTGCTGTAATGTAACATGTGGTGCTATACTCTAACATGTGGTGCTGTGATATAACATGTGGTGCTGTAATGTAACATGTGGTGCTATACTCTAACATGTGGTGCAGTCTGTGTTGGGTAAGAAGGAATGACCGAGGTAAGGAGGTCAATGGTTGTTATGAAGAATGAAGATGATAATAGTAGTTATTTGATGAAGGTCGTGTGCTGCTGTGAACTGTAATGAACATAATAGTAGTTATTCTGATGAAGGTCAACTATTTTTGTATTGTGACTCGATGCAATATGTTTTGGTCAAGGGATAAATTAGTTAAGCCATGACTGATGTTTCACCCTTCCTCCCACTCTCAATTTGATCAATGAAAAACCCAACCCAATGCCTGGCTTGCTCTGCCAGCTACCTAAACAAACTACATACTGTCAAGGGGGTCTGGTGGCAGCGACCTTAAAATTAAGAGTAGATTTAAGTTATCCCCTTAGGATTAGTGACCCCAGAATGGGCAGTATAATCCAACCAGGAGCTAACTCGTAACAATTTTAGATTTAGGTGCGAAATAGGTAAACACTGGTTTGGAAATAGAGCAGTGGATGAATGGAACAAGTTACCAAACATCATCATTAACTCGAATACGCTGGACAGCTTCAAACATTGGTTGGATGGATATAATCTAACCATTACCAACACAGTCTATCAATACAGCTGTGATTTTTGTTGTACAGCTGCCATTCCTGTATTAACTATGAATAGCCAAACCCTCTAGGTAGCTTAATCAACGGGTGAAACAAACTGGGATGCCCAATCTTCTTGATCCAGATCTTGGCCAGAGTGGAGGAAGGTAACACAAAACTTAATCATTTCGAGTAGATATTAATGCACCAATGTCTAAGTTGATACTAAACTACATACAGTATATCATCCTCACACCTCAGGAAGCCCATCTATGAGCTGTAAGGTGTCAAATCCCATTATATTTAATATTATATCAACGGAAAAAAACTTTACTATACCTTCTCCTTGCCTATAAAAACTGCTCCATACACATACCTTGAATTACGAAATAATTTCATTTAATAAAGAAATTCACGTCCTAATTTAACCAACTCATATTAGCAGATCACATCTATTTAAAATTCCGAATAAGAACTAAAATATGTAGGGAAATTTAAGATAGGAGGAAAATGAATCCCCATCACCAACCTGCAGCCCGCCAGTTTAATCTTAATCACGATAGGAAAGGTATTCTATAACCTATATTATAATTATTACTGTTATCTCATGGTCACTTACTTCTCTTAAGCACTCCTGTAGGTCTGTTGTGTCTCCGTGGCCACTATTTGTCCTGATTTTTCCTCAAATACTCAGCTGCTCGTCCTCCTCCACCAACGGCCCAGTGTTCAAAACAGTGCGCGGTTATGACGTCACTATACCTTCAATACCGAACCCCGAACCCGAACCCCGAAGCCGAACCCCTTATGGCCACTTGACTTCCTGGTGTATTATAATAAGGAAACAAATAATTTATCATTTCATCTCTTATCAGGGTATTAGTCACTCGGGCGGTTGGTTAGTTCTTTGCTACTCTTATGAACTTTATCGTCTAGTGTTTCAAATGTCCTCTTCACCACTGGTCACCTCGTTCAACGCTTTTATTTTATTTTATGGAGAAAAACTTCATACATTAATTACATACATATAAAATACCTACCTAGGATAATAGGAAAACTGTACTACAAGCTTTGCCAATAAATTTGTTAAACTAAAAAAAACCACTTTCCAGTTGCCAGTGACATACCCTAGACATGACAGTGACGCCCAAACTATGAATTCCCGCCATTTCTTGCCACTGCTTAGAATAATTAAAAATATTTTTTCTAGTAGTTTTCTGATTTTAAACTACCGATATCTCAGCCATGGGCAAAATGTACCAAAAGTGTCATAGATGAAATTAGTCGCATTTTTGTCTGAACTTATCATTAGCAACAACAAAAAACAATATTGAATTATGTCCATTACTTTAAAATGACTGTCGAATTAATAAAGGAAAGCCTAATTTCTAGTTTTATATTAGTAAGGACCAATATCTACATAAAAATGAGAAAATATTAGGCGGGAAATATAACTACCATCTTAGAAAACCTAGAGAACAAACCTTTTTAGTGGAGTGATTATCTAGTTCACAGTTGACCAACACCAGGGCAGATAACCAGTTTATAGCTGGAACAGAGACGTGACCGACGGGTAATGGACTGATTAATGGGAAGAGGATGAAACATTAAAAGACTCGGGGTTCACTACTTCATCCTACAGAGGTTCGGGGTTTAGTTCGTCGGGTTCGGTATTGGGTTCGGCAGAATTGTGACGTCACGATGTAAACACCGCAGTTAACATTCGAATTTTAAATAAATCTTTAAACTTATACTTAACCTCCAGTTTATTAGTTGTATTCATTAAACCATCAATCCAGTAATTAAAGATATATTTAAATTATATCAACTAAGTTCATATAACGAGGTTCCAATGACGTCACAAGAAGTTAAGCATGTGTTTTTGTTTACCTTTAGGGTGATGGACGATGACTCACCCTGCCAACCATGAGTCATAGATGCAACTTTTTTTTATAATGTTAAGTACATTTGGAGAGATTGCTATTTTTTCAATCCATGTAATAATGGTGAAATATGTTTGTGTATGCAGGTCTAACTACTTTCAAAACACTGCAATAATTTGACTAGCGAATCATTCCCGGGTCCATGACAATAAACGCCGAGACCTTTGATCTTAAAGTGAAGTACGAGAAAAAAATCAAGATTGAACGTATGGAAATGCAATAATACCGAAATACTCACGATTTTGGTTAGGAAAAGATAATTCTATTTAAATATTAACAAGTTAGGATAGGTTTTAAATGTTTTCTAATTCAGACCTACCGGTAAACTAAACTTCATCTGTCTCTAGTCATATACAATACTGACTGACTATTTTTTCCTTTGGTGAATTTTCCATCTTGCACCAGTAATTCTCTCGGTTATTAATGTCTTCTAAGCCATTTTTCTTCTGCGACCTTTCCGCCGGAAATTAAGGATAACCGAAATATTTATTTTTCAATATTATAAGGGAGAGGTATGTTAATATATATCAGGAAAGGAACCAAATTTTACAGTGTTGAACTTGATACCAAGTTTTTTTAATATTGTTGTATAGAAGTGTCATGTAGTAGTGGTAATTTACTATTTACCGCCATTTACAGAAGCCCTAATAGTGATGAAAGCAATAATACTAATTTGCTCCAACTAATGCAGGAGGTCAATGATGAAAATGTACTTTATAAAATAATTTTAGGTGATTTTAATCTTTCACAAATAAATTGGAGTAATTATACTTCTGAATGATGTTGGTACTATGTTCATTGAGAAAGTACGGGACTGCTTTCTCACTCAACATATAAAGGAAATCACCAGGATAAGAGGAGACAGCACAGGCAATACCCTTGACCTGTTGTTCAGTAAAGAAGAATCTATAGTAGGAGATATATCAAGCTGGAGAGTCCACTGGGAAAGAGTGACCATGCCTGTATTTATTTCCATTGTGACAAACAGGAGATGGAAGACAAAAGTAAAAAACAAGTGTACATGTGTGAAGAAGCAGATGACCTACTGATGAAGCAACGGCTTACGATGGACTGGATCCAATACTTATCATTGGAACCAGATATTGAAAGTAAGTGGAAAAAGTTCAAAAGAAAATTCCAGGCAGTCATTGACGAGTGTGTCCCTAAGAAGATAATCAGAGAACTGAGAGTTAGCAGAAAAAGAACAAATGAAATATTACCTATGAACAGGAAGCTCTGGGCTAAAGTGAAGAAAAATCAGTACTAAATGACCAGCCAACTTACCCAAACTCATTCTGCTAAATCAGAGAACTCTCATAATTTTGTAATTGTTATTGACTGTTGTAGTCAATTACCTAGAAAGCCACTTAGATCTTATTTGTTGAAGTGCAGTAATACATTATAACATTAACACTGTACCTAGATGACCTCAGTGCTATGTGCCAGTGTTCCAGTCTAACTCTTGCTGTACTGAAACATCACTTGTAGAGTTTGGACAAATAAACTCCTGTGAACTATGAGCATTTGGCTTGTTTTTCTTTGTTCCATTGAGTCTCTTTCCTTAAAATATACAGGGTGTCTCAAAAAATGTATAACAGTGTTACATATTTTGCTGAAGATCAGAAGAATGTTTGTACAGTATTATAACAACAACAACATTGTCCTTGCTTGTTGAGTGAGGTCTACAAATAAGGACAATGTTGCTGTTGTAATACAATCATTCCTGCCATCACCATAAAAATTTGTAAGGCGGTGTAACACATTTTTCCGAGACACCTTATATGTGACTCCTCTGCCTTGAGAGAATCTTACGCTATTTGCCTGAACACAGCGGCTCTACAAAGACCTTTAACTTGCAGTAAAACCTGAAAAGAAATCATTTTTCATCAGCAACCTTGGGCTGTCCTTGCTTTACCTGGGTTGATAATGTTCATGTTTGTATACTTAAACGTATGTATTGAACCAAAGTGAGCACCTTAAGGTTAAAATAAGATGGGTGGAAATATGAGACAGACAGACAGACATACAGTATAAGACAAACTCCTATGAATCTAGGCTACTGCAGGACATAAAACACAGAGTAACGATCATTTGAGCTTCAACAATAGTACAGTAGGACATATTTTAAGGTACAAATAAAAGAAGGGAAAAAAATAGTAAACATTTATTTCAAAGAAAGAGCTTTTATACATTTTTCCACATTATAAGCAGCAGATGATATAATGATATTTACATCTGAATATGTACATGAAGGGTGAACAAATACTACACAGCACTGTTATAACCCACTACATCACTACTTCATCTTTGTTTCTCACTTTCCACAAACATTCAGAACATTTTCCGTAACTTGCCTCTTGATAAGTTGTCCAAGAAGAAAATAAATAGAACTGATGATTTTATTGGGTAGATACCAACTGTCCTTGATCTTCCCCTGGTATAAAGTGACAGGGATGATGAATGATAATGATAATAATAATAATAATTAAGAATAGTTTCAACAGGAAAATGTTATGAGGGGATAAGTCTTCAAAACGCTTAATAAATAAAACACTTTCACTTTAACAGATGAATCCTACAACTCTGAATGTTTGGACACCAGATGAGTTGGGTTATACTCACTGTGAAACACAGGACATTATAGCAAATGTCCCAGAGGGTAATGATAATATTGATGACCATGCATAATATTCCGCTGAAATGTTTGTGTTACGGAATCTCCCAATGACACAATACGATACAGCACACTGGAATATGCCGAAACCATCGCTCTTTTATTCGTCGTCGTCATTTTATAGCCACATAGCGAGAAATGCATCGTAATAATAATAAGTAAATGTCGTACCAACAAAACACTCTACATGTACAAGTAATAAAGGCTTCATAGAAACCTGTGTAAGTTTTCCCCTGGGTTCATAATCAAATCACTCAGCTTATGATACTTTAACACTGACAGTTATTAGGTGATTTCTCTTTTATTTTTAAATATATCTTTTACCCTTAAATGGTGGTTAAGGATTCCTCGCTCCCCCCTCACGTGCACCAAATTGGAACGCAAGGAACACGAACCGTTCACTGATGATGGCCGCCGTTTAAGGGTTAAAGAAAAATCTATGGTTCAAAACCCCAAACGTACAGTATAATTAGTAAGTCAATATCTTGTAGGATAATGGAAAATATTGGGTTGTTTTTAACTATTCTTATATAAACATTAGCAATCTGTCAATAGTATCACTGTACTGTACTTGCTAGACATTTAGGGAGTACTGCACTGTTTGTATTACTAATGAATACTGTAGATATGTCTCACTATTTAAGACGTATAATTCATAAGACTTAAGAAATAGGTAAGAGGGTTAATATCCAGACACAAACTAAAATGAAAAAAATAAAAAAAATAAATAAACAGCTTAGCGCTAACATAGATTATACACAGGGACACTATTCAATTTCATGTAACATTTTGAGAAACCTTAAAACATATATTTGTATGATGGGACTGTGGAAGGAGACGCAGAAAACATTACCTTCCTCTCACACTGCTACACAATCCTACTCATCACTAAAATAATTCATAAAGTGTCAAAATAATGTATACAGTCCTCACTTGTGGAACACCTCACACGTATCAACAAGTGAGGACAAATGTTGCCATTACAATATGAGCATTCACGCGACCCCCACGAAAATCTGTAAGACAATATGCATACAGTATGGTGCAATCTTACGAGATACCCTGTATATGTACAGTAGCCTTGTTTCTGCTTATTATAAGATGCCCTGTATT